TCAGAACAATTCAAAGATACTAAATGCCGTAAAAAGGTGGGACAGACGACAGTTAAAAAGAAAAAACTGTATTTGGTCATTGCACGATGTTGAGTAAACTAAATCCTCTGCGGTTTTCACAGGAGGACCTGTCGCCTTTCTTGTAAATCGTCAAGATGACTGATTTACACCATTCAGTTGGAACCTGTTCCCCCTTCCCCACTGAGCCCAAGAGTTTCGTCTACTTCAAGACCAGCGGTGAGACTCCACCTTTAAATACCTATGGAGAGAGCCCACCTGGGCCAGAGACCTTTTGAGATAACTTATTTCCCGAGAAACCCCCATTTTAGACGGAGGACTGGCATCAACTGAGAGTATTTGCCCAATCGAGATGGGGAGTGATAAGTCAGATGTCGATGGGGGCCAGCTGAACTGAGCCTCGAACTGTTCAGCCCATCGATCGAGATGACGTTACTGATGATGAATCAGTATGCCATCGGATTCCTTAATTACCGTACGCCCACTTTTCTGGGGCCCGTATTCTTACTATGACGGAAAAGATTGGGACTATCACCACTCTTTCTACACTTTCTTACCCACCACTTCTCGCGGTCATTCCACAAACTATTGATGAGCTGGCGTTTAAGGGATTTGCGCGTTTTCATATATAGCATCAACAGGAAAGGTACTGCAGGCGTCTAGTAAGGCAGTCGATGAGATTCACCATTTGTTCTTTGAGCCTGTGCCAGAGCCCGCTGTTGTTTTTCACATATATTTGCATAGCTTCTTTAATTTGCTTCCAGTGGGCACTGAGTCCTTCGGCTTGTGTTTGAACTGATGGGCGATCGGAGAGCTCTGCTTCGAAGGCCGACTTGCAAGAATCGCTGATGTCATATCCTGAGTATTCGTTGCCCGTGGCTTCATTGCTGTTGCTTACCAAGCGTAGGGAGAATGGAACTTGTAACTGAGCGTGAGCCGTATCCACAGGTGTTGACCAGTGAGGGTGGCAGTCTTGAATCGACCCTCTCCAGCGGTAACTGATGGCTACTGAATCGATTTTGGTCCATTGCTGTGAAGAGATTGACGGTTTCCCAGATAGGCGGCGTTGCTTCTTGTGCGAGAAGTTGGTGCATGACAGGAACAATCCGTGGCACACGCAGAGTTGAAGTAAGCGATCTCCGTTGTCAGTCCGATTAGCTGGTATTGTATGTGGACTGCCAAGAGGCCTTTCTGATTCATCCAGGGATCCCATTTAAGGATCGTAGTGGTGCAGTGGTTTAGTCGCTGTCACCGGCGTGCTTTGAACCCTATGGTTCAAGGTTCGAGCCCCGCCACCCCCACCCGACTTTGGTGGTAGGCAGCTCTGCTGTCGTCTGGTTCAATACCACGTCTAACCTATCAGGGCCTTATGTGGTTCGCCACTCCAAGTTCCGGGGCTTAGGTTTCTGATTTCAACCACTGAACAGCAGGTCCTCGTGACTATGGGGTTTGCCCCGTCTGCTGTTCATCACACCTGGGTGTGTAATAAAAAATATAAAAAATTGAAGTTTCCGGCGGCTACTACGACGTCCGTTGATCGAACACTTTGGAGTAATTGAGAAAGATCCTCGTAGAATTCATCCTTGATTTCAGGCATACTGCAATTGGTCGGCACATACAATGCTACAACGAATAAGCATCGACACCTCGTTCTGTAGCTGTTGACCCGTACTGAACCATCCAGCCGTACAGTGCACAGTCTGTACTCACGGACCCAGACAAAAAATGAATGCTTGGTTTTGACACTAAGAGCAATCCCGACACCACAAGCTTCGGATGTCGAATAGCCTGACAAATGAAAATTGAAGCGTAAGGATGAGGTCGGATCTGAAGTGCGCAAAGTGACGATTGAAGTGTGGGATTGCATGAGTGGTCCGGAGATAGAATAAAGCCAAATTGAAGGTTTCAAAGGTTCTAGCTAACGCAGCTGGTTGACCGATCTAATAGTGTGCGCATATTATATGCGGCTAAGTGAAAAGGAGATTTTGGTTTAAAAATCTGTTATCTTCTGGTTGATTGACCTTAATAGTTGAACGGTGAATGATATCCCATGGGTGGTGCAAACAGGAGGTATCTTGTACGATTTGGGAGTGAAGCGAAAAATGAAGAGATGATAAAGAGGGTTTCCAAATGGGTACCGAAGAATTTGGGACACGACATACTTCGCGGTAGCCCACATCGACGGAGGTTTTCTCTGGGAACCCTAACCGGAGCCTTCGACTCGAAATTTCGACCCACAAGGCAGTGGGGCGTAGATCTATCGCGAGGGTATGACCGAAGCACCTGTGTAGGAGTTTCTACAGACGTGTCATGTAAGACCTTCAGGCTTCAGTTCAGCGTTTTGTTCGCTGGTTTGTTGATTGTCGGTCCGCTGTTCGGGATTGACCCTTAGCCTAATACACCCAGTGAGACAAGCGGAATGGAAACGGACAGCACCTTACCGGCTGGGGGCTTCCCAGCTTGGGCGGGCGGTAGATGTCCAAT